ATGATTTCATATTTAGAATAAATTCTTTTAAGATAAAATAGATTTTTTTCCAAACACAATCCAATCTGACATTCTTTTAATTGGTGACCTTAGGCTATTTACAGTGGATGTAATTATTAATCTTTTTAGATTTAAGCCCACCATTTCATTATTTGTTTTCTGTTTGCAGCCTCTGGTTTTGTCTCTCTGTTCCCTGTTTCCTGTTTTGTATTATTTGAATATTTCTAATATTCTATTTTAATTTACTTACAGGCTTTTGGGTTTCATCTTCTTTGTATTTTTATTATGTTTAGTGATTAGTGAGTAATATATATATATAATTTATATATTTTAAAGCCCACCTTGAAACTCCTTTTACTTTTCTCCACCAGTCTTTGTGTTTTATTTGTCATAAGGAATACAGTTTCACATATTGAAAACCACACCAGACAATACTATTTTTACTTTCAGCAACTACACTTATCTTAAATTAAAAAAAGTCTATAGTCTGTTAAATTTACTCAGATATAAGAACTCAATTTGAAGACACAATGGCCAAAGCAGAAAATTTGGTGAGAGTCATAAATTTACAGATTGCAAAAGTGCATCAGAACCAAATGATATAAATTCAAAAAAGACATTTGCTGAGACATCATAATCATCAGCTCAAGAAAAAGATTTTTTAAAAAAATCTTGAAAGTAAATAAAATGATGCATTATATATAGGAGAATAATGTCTATGGAGGCTAGAAGACAACAGAACAGCATCTTTAAAGAATTGAAAGAAATGAGTGCTCAATCCAGATTTTGTACTTAGTGAAAATAATCTTAGTAATTATTATTTAAAAACAAACCCAAATAAGGGTAACCTAAGAAGAATTTGTTGCCTACATAACCTGCTCTTAAAGAAATGGCAGAAGTTTTCCATGCTGAAGTAAAAATGTTAAAAACAGGAAACTTGGATTTTTAGGAATGAAGGAAGAGCAATGTACTTCTTTACAACAAGAAAATGCTCTGGCCTCAGTGCAGATTTCAAACTTGATCAGATTTGCTGGATTTATATTTTGCCAATAGTTTCTTCGTTTTTAACGTGAGCCCATTTTGGGGGCTCTTTCTCTATTACTGTCTGATATGTGCTACTACAGGTTCATTTCATGTTTCTTATGTAGAATCTTATATAAAATTGTTTGATTCTGATGTTTTCTAAAAATGTGATTTCCATTGGCTAAGCTAATAATTATATTTTTGAATGGATTAAGAAAATAATAATGCCATATCCAGTTCTTAGATTTGTGATCTGTTATACTATGATCATGAACATTATTTTTATTTCAGACCACCAGAGAGGCTCTTTAATTTTACTTCACTTTCCTCCCCCAGATGCTTTAATCATATAACAAAATCATCAATTTTACAACAATATAATATGTAGTATGCAACACAGTATTTTAATTGGAACAATTGCTGACATATTTTCTAACAAACAAGAAGGGCTACCTATTATGCTTCTTAGAAAAATGTCCTGGGCTGGAGTATAGGGCAGTGGTAGAGCCTGTACTTAGCATGCACAAGACCCTGATTTCTAGCTTCATCACTAAGAGAAAGAAAAAGAAATGTCCTTTTTTTTTTCTTTTTGCATTTGTTGATTTGCTATATGCATCCCTGAATGTTTCAGATTTAATAGAATTTGGTGGTGGAGATGGGTAATCAGGGGTGACCCCAGGGGGCACTTAACCACTGAGCCACATCACCAGCCCTTTTTATTTTTCATTTTGAGACAGGGTTTCACTAAGTTGCCCAGGGTCTCACTAAGTTGCTGAGACTACCTTTGAACTTGTGATCCTCCTACCTCAGCCTCCTGAGCTGCTGGGATTATAGGTGTGCACCACGATGCCCAGCTTAATAGAATTTTTTTCTGGGGTCCCTTACATCCCCATGTGATTCATAGAATTTTTTAAATTCATCACTTATGGAAAGTAAGAAATAGTGTTTCCTTTTTCTCCTTTCCAGTTCTCATTACTTTTATCTTTGCTTCAGACAGTCTGTGTTTTCCCTTTTGTTGTCAAAAGTGTTACTAATTTTAGTATCCAATGTATGAGCAAAGGGTAAATATTGATCTGTCACTACTGAAAAACATTATATCTTTTTATTATGGAAAATTTAAATTTATAACCACATATTATCTCCCTATCGCACGGTAAAATAACACAAAGCCAGTTGCCGTAGTAATTTTTGCAGCTGCATCAAATGCTTTTTGTACATTTAATTATTTTTTAAATAAAGGTGGAAATCCTTTACTTTCCTTGATACCATGTGAATTCTGATGAAAATTTTTTCCAAATCACTTTAAAGAAATGATTTATAGATAATGCAATTCAAAGTATTGATGGAATCCTATGGGTTTTTTTCTATAAAAGTAACTTAAGTTTTTAGCATTGGCATCCCCATCTCAGAGTAATAGTCTAAAAGCTTAAAATCAACTTTCTCTCTCTTTTTTTTTTTTTTAATTTTCTGTATCCAAGAAAGCCTACCTGCTTTTCTTAAAAAACTCTGGAATTTACCCTCAAATTCTGTCATTCTTTTTTTTTATAGCCAATGCCTGTGTGTTTTCTCAGCCTTGGCTCTCTTCTTTTTATTACTTTCTGCACATTTACTCTGAGGATCTTCAGGAGATGTCATATTCTCACTGTATCTAGTCTAGGCTTCTCTACCTCATATGCATTATCATCCACATCTCCACCAAGCCCTCTATATTGAATTTATTTTCTGTTTTTCTCCCACTGGTATCTGGGTACTTATTCAACCCCAAAGAGACCATGGTACATGCCATAATCATTTTTTCATTTCCTTGCCTCTCCTCATGCTTTCAACCCTAACCTTATGCCCTTTCAGGAATACTATTGTCTTTTTTCCTTATGACCTATGAAAGTTTCTATCACCAATTAATTTTGGAAAAGCTTCTCCAAATCCTCATCTAATTTTTCCTCTGAGCTCCTGTCACACATTATCTCTTGTATGTGATGCAACTCTCAAAGACAAAGACCTGTGTCATTCACTTCACTCCTATCATCAGTTTTTAAAGTTAGATCAGAGCCAGGTGTGGTAGTGCATTCTTGTAATCCCAGTTATGTGGGAGGCTAAGGCAAGAGGATTTTAGCCTCAGCAACTTAGCAAGGCCTTGTCTCAAAATAAAAAGGGCAGGGGCATGTATCCCAGTGGTAAAGTGCCCCTAAGTTCAATTCCCAGTGCCAAAAAATAAAGTTAGATCAAAAGAATTTCTTTTTTGTTCCTTTTTTCTTTTTATTCACTTTGGAAACATGATTTTTTTCTTCTTCCGGCTCCCTCACCCTTGCACACCCCACATTAGAAGCATTAGAAGCAGTTTTATTTTATGAAATAGATAAGAATGCAGACTTTGGTAGGTGAAATACTGCACTAATGAAGTCAAAAGTGAAATTGACTCCCACATGTGACAGTTAAGCTCACACAGAACAAAACTCCCATTCACAGTCCCAGGCTGTGTATTGAATCTGCCTACCCATCTTCAAAGTGTGTATTTTGTTTAGTGTTGGGGAAATTGGGCAATAAACTGTGGCTTTCTTAGCACAAATCTGTCAGTATTAGAAAAATGTCTAGAAATTAGTGTATTTTATACTCAAATTACTTTTGTTTAAAAGGTTAGCTATTAAAACATGCCTAGCTAATAATATGTCTGCAGCAAAGACAGAAGACATTTTCTGTAAATGGTCAGATAGTGAATGTTTTTAGGCTTTGCAAGCCACATATGCTGTTACATGTTCTTTGTTTTTGATGTTTTTGTTTATCACCCTTTAAAAGTGTAAAAGCCAGTTTCATCTGTAAGCAGGATAGAAGTGGGTCATGGGCTGGATTTGGCCTGTGGTTGTAGTTTCCTGACCCCTGCTCTGTAGCAATAGGAAAATCAAATCTGAGTAATTAAGCATTTAAGATGGCAGAGAACTTTATTATCTGTGAAGATTTGCTAATGCTCATCCAAGTCCTAAACAGACTGGAATGTGCCATAGGGGTCCCATCTAGTCATAGAGCATGAGAAATCTTCACCTAAGAGGAATGGATCAGGAACAGGGTCAGGATTAGAGAAGGGCAAGAGATGCATCATGGTGGACTTGAACATGTAGTGTGTCCTTCATGGGGAAAAAATAGACTTGCCCTGACTGGTGCTTATTCCTTGATGGGAATGTGTTGTTCTGGGACAGAGTAAATGTCCTTCCCCAACAATGGTGATTTTTCATGAGAAGAATGAAGTTTCTTGTGAAGAACTTCTGGACTTTACTCACAGCTTAATGACTTGTAATTGTACTCACTATGGAATAGATCACAATAGACATCAATGATGAGGGAATGTTGCAGTAAATAAAAGGATTTACTTTGGGTGGAATTAAAAATCTTCATAGGACATGTATGCTTTAGATCTTTGCAAATGACCCACATTGCTGGACAATATCCAAAAATGTTACCCAACAATAAGTAAAGTATAAACTTTACTGTGTTGGAAGTTTCCAAAAGACACTCTAATTCTTAGTTTAGAAATGATCTGTTTATTTCATATGAACAATTTGTACTTGCTTGAGTGCTATAACTTATATACCTCCTATTATCTACTTAGATAGAAGGTAAATCACATAAATAGCAATAAAACAAAAAACTTGAAGTGGATGTAATTTTTTTTCTCACCCTACTAACAAGGGTAGTTAGTCAATGACAGAATTCTGGTTCAGATTCATCACTTTGTATCACCCTTTTTCTACACCAGCCCTCATCTCCACTTAAGAAATTCTGACAAGCTAGTTTAAAGACACCTCTCTAGGTTGAATTATTTGTCTATGAGCCTTAACTTCTGTGCTTCAGCATTCATGACTATGGAAATAGTCACAGCTACTGATTTTATTTAGTTGTGAACTGTTAACAGTATTGATCAATTTTATCTTGTTTATTTAAGTTAATCAGGGTTCAATTTACCTTAATTTTGATTTTGGTTGTAGAGGTTGGCGATTTGAAGGAGCTGCAGACACTAGACATTTCTACCAATCGTTTGCTAACTTTACCCGAGCGGCTTCATCTGTGCCTTTCTCTGCAGTACCTCACTGTGGACCGAAATCGTCTATGGTATGTGCCGCGCCATCTCTGCCAGCTGCCCAGCCTCAATGAACTCTCCATGGCTGGAAATCGTCTTGCATTTTTGCCACTTGGTAAGTGATGGTGTTTCTGTGGTTCACAAAAAGGGCCAAAAATTAAGATGGTTTTTTGACTAGAATAGATTAGTTTCTTACTATTTATCTAAAGAGAGATTACCTCTCTATACTTATTGTTGCAGTCAATAGAGGAGCCTCATTCCCAGATAACAAATGAAATTATTACAATTAGGAATTTTATATATATATATTTTTTTAAATCTATGCTAAAAATTTGCTTAGGGACAAAATACATGCATTATAAGATAATTACTCTGTGGAGGGAATTAAAGTGTGTGTGTGTGTTTATGTGTGTGTGTGTTTATGTGTGTGTGTGACCATGTGACTATACATTTGACAGAGGGTATTGGGCAATATGAAAGAACAGCTACTTATCTGAGTATACCTGCTTAGATCTTCACTTATACCTAGAAAATTTGGTATTGAGTGCCTAATAATTAGCATTGCCAGATAACCTGATCGTAAAACCTTAAAGACTTTTAAATTGGCTAAATGTCCTGCTGATCTTGAAACATCACCATGGCTAATAAACAACATATTGTCTCCTGTAGATTTCTGTAGTTGACCCATATTATATGTCAACCAACATAGGCCTTTAGTAACTAAACAGCACATTTATTTCATTAAAAAAATCTATTATTTCTTAATTTTTAAGAAACAAAAGTACGAACTAAAAAAAATAGTTAAAATATGAAGTCCCATAGAACCCCAGTTCTGTCACAATAAACATCATATAAATTTACTCATAAAAATTTTTATAATGAATAATTTATCATTGAGGGCAATGAAATAAATATTTTACTAGTCCCTGAAAGGTAATGTTTTCCAATATAACTGTACATATTATTTTCAATTTTAATCACTTCATAAAACTTTAAGTACTGGCAGCATTAAAATCAATTCACATAACGATAAGTAATTGTCAAATTTAGGGAAATTACTTTTTCACAAACTCCATGCTTTTACAATTAACAAAGTAAAATATAAAACTACTAAAAAGAAAGCTGCGTTTCTGGGAAGCTGATTTTGAGTAAGAAAAATCAAATTTGAACTTTTTTAAAAAATAAATGTACATGCTGCGCTAACCCAGAGATCCAAGTTCTAGCCTGATTCCACTGCTTCACAATGTATGATCCAGAGTAAATCCCCAGAACCTCTCTGAGTATCGTTTTTCTTATCTGTAAGCCAGAGATGATATTTATCCTGATTAATATGATAGTTTATGGATAAGAATTACAAAGCCCTGTACAAATGTAGATGACTTTAAAATGAAAAGATATAACTTATGGATTACCATATCTAAGTTTAAAAAATGTTTTAATAGTACAATTTAATAGTACTATTATTTTTCATAGTATTATTATAAACCACATAATGTAAGAAGAGTTTCCATGCTATGGCTAGCAATAGCTCTCACTTCTTGAGCACCCACCCTTTGGCCAAGTATTCTAATTGCCATATAGATAGATGCTCTCTAAGTATTACAAAACCTTATGACAAAATATATTACAAAACCCATTGACAACCTGATTTTACATCATCTTTCTAGTTGTATGGCCATCTTCAGTGTCAAATTTGGCTCTGCCATTTTGGATTCAAAAACTCCTTTGGACACTCTAGTTGGCCTCTTTCAGTGCATCTCTCCATTTTCCCAGCAGGGTCTGCCTGACACGGGTAAGTGCTTTCTCTCAACTACTCTCTCTGTACATGAACCAGATACTTTTAAATTATTTGCTTCCGCCTTGTCTAACTTCAAAAAATCCTATAGCAATATAAATGTTTTTTAAAATTTACTGGTACATTATAATCTTACATAATAATGAAATGCATTTTGATATAGTCATACATGTACATAACATGAATTGGTAATTACATTCACCAGTACTCCTTTCCCTCCCCTCCTCCTTCCTCCTGATCCCCTTCTCCTATTCTGTTGGTCTCCTTTTCTATTTTCCTAAGATCCTTTTCTCCATTTTTCTGTCGAGTTTCCACATACAAGATAAAACAGAATCCTTGACTTTCTGAGTCTGGCTTACTTCACTTACTATGATGTTCTCCAGTTTTATCCATTTTCCTGAAAGTGACATAATTTCATTCTTCCTTATGGTTAGTAAAGCTCCATGGTGTGTGTGTGTGTCTGTGTGTGTGTGTATGGCACATTTTCTTTATTCATTCATCTGTTTATGAACCCCAAGACTTGGTTCTATCACTTTGCTATGTGAATGTACTGCTGTAAACATGGATATGCATATAGCACTATGGTGTGCTGACTTTAGTTCTTTGGGATAAATACAGAGGAGTGATATAGCTGGGACATATGGTGGTTCCATTCCTGGGCTTTTGAGGAACCTCCATATTGATTTACGTAGTGGCTGTACTAATGTACAATCCCACAAACAGAGTATAAACATACCTTAGTCACTGCTCCTCCAGCATTTATTATTATTTATATTCTTAATTGCCATTCTAACTGGTGAGGGATGAAATCCCAGTGTCGTTTTGATTTCCGTTTCCCTGATTGCTAAAGATGCAACAGAAATCTTATAAAAGCCTAGTCCTTATATTTCTCATTTAGGTCTTTCTTGGTGCCAGCAAGTCTTCTTCTCACTTTGTTTGTCCCCTTCAACTTCTGCAGAACCCCTAGTTCCTTCATTTTGAAATTGTGTTTCTAGCAACTAGTTTTCCTTGTCTTTTTTTTTTTTTTTTTTGGGGGGGGGGGTTCTTCTACTACATACTCTGTCTCAAGTCTAAAACATTCATACATCCAGCTGGCCAGAGCATGATCCATAACCCTGGTCTCATGTCTGATAGCCAAATGGACTCTTACTATCATGTAGAGCTTCCACTCTGCCTGGAATTTCACACACAATTGGACTTTCTAAGTCAAATGGCTTTTATGTCTTGTAGCTAGTTTCTGTGCCTTCTGCCTTGCCTATTCTCTATGCCTCACCATAGCTTCTCATCCCTTGGTCATTTGCTGCCCCTGTTTCTACCTTTGTTTCAGTAGTGATAGAGCTGAACAGGTACTGAGTTGGCAATGGTGTTAGAAGAATAAAGGGAAGTCATACCCCTGGGAACCTGCCCACTGTTAACATTTGGGTTACCTGGCAGTCATACTGTGTATTATGCTAAATACCGTGTATCACAGTGGCAGAGGATCTGATGTGCAGTGGCTGGTGCAGATGCTAGAAGCGGTTCTTGGGCAGAGGATAGAGGACTACACATTGCCCGGCTCTTCCTCTACCCTGGCACTTTCATTTATTTGTATATTCTGTATGCACCATGTCAATTCTGGTGTGGCTAGGGAGGTGGACATGTCTTTTTCACTACTTGATATTCAATGGTGAGTAGAATTATTACAAAATAATTTCTATCTCTAGGTTTCATGTCACCCTACCCTCAAGTCATGTTTCTGTGTCAGGAGACTTTTTCCTTTGTAAACTTCATAATGTTGTGTCAAAGAGCACGAGTGGCAAGGTGGTCTGTGCTGGGCTCTGAGGAGAGTGCCTTGTGACGGCTAAAATACCCAGAACTCCTAGGCCTGGGGCTCTAGACAACCTCGAATGTGGAAGCAGCTTCCACACTGCCCTGGACACTATCCCAGCTCACAGGACTCCCACCCTGATAGCACATGGGCCTGTGAACAGGGAGAAAAACACATAAGCAAGAGTGTAGTGGTGAGGCTTGTCCAGCCTAAAAGAAACATCCTGCCCAAAGTAGCACTCTCCTCTTGGTCTAAGACTGGATCCTTTGAGAACAGGGGATGAAAGGGTCAGGGAGCAGAAACATGCATTGGCAGCCACACAATGTGTGGTCACCCAGAGAAAGCTTTGAGAAGATTGGAGATTAGGATGAAAGAAACTGAAGCAAACCAAAATGTCAGCAGTCTCCTCTGTTTTGTTTTTGTTTTTTACTTTTTAAATTAATTTACTTTTTATTGTTTTTGCCACCAGGAAAGCAAGTTTGAAAATAATTACAACTTTAGCAAGAAAATAGTTATGCTTAAAATCTTTCCTGGAACTCTTCTGATAAACCAAAGTCATCTAATGCTAAGAACTATCAGAGAAAGTGAAATGAAGCACAGTGCTACTGACCCTCCCTTTGCTTAGTGCACTGAACTGTCCTTAGAAACTTAGAAAAGGAGGGGTTCCTCTTTATAGTTGTTTGGAGATGCTCTACACACACACACACACACACACACACACACACACACACCCTGAAGTTTTCAAGCACTGAAAGACTTCTGTGTTTTTCTATGTTTTTAGAAGCAAAATATAGGAACTTAGGAGTTTTGTGAAGTCAGTGTTAGATATCCTCTGCCTGTGAGGGAAGGTAGGAATCATATTCTGGGAGCCACTTACTGAATTCAGTTTCTTGTCAAAGAAGTTTGACTTCAGAGGAAACCAGTTTTTATAGGGCTTCTTAAAGTAATGTCAGATTATACCTGCTTCAAAAGGCAGCTACAGAAGTTATATGTAAGGATGACTTAAATCACTTGTAATATTGTCGAACCCATTAACTCTCTTTGAGTATGTTCTTCTAAGTCACTTGTAATACTGTCGAAACCATTAAGACTCTTTGACTATGTTCTTCTTAAGATGAAAAGATGTATCAAAAAAGAAGATGCTCCTCTTATTACTGTACCGTGACAGTTGAGTGACAGATGAGTCTGCTGCCAGAGGCTTTGTTCTCAGTGGTGACTATCAGCAGAGAGGGAAGGAGAAGAGCAGTCACTTGAGCCTATGCTATGAAAGTTAACAGAGGTCTCTCAAAACTTGAATATTTGCTATCAATTCAGGATAGCCCTGTTTAGCTTACAGAATTGTGACCACCCTTGGCTTCTGAAAGTTTAGAGAAATATAAAGAAAAAGGTGGTTTCCTCTAAGGCTTTTTTTTTTACCAGATGCTGCTAGTTTTCCTTACATAATTAATAAGCCCTATTATTCAGGAATGTTTACAACTTGTTTAATGTTGAATAATAGATAGAAGGATTGTTA